AGAGAGTGAGTAGGGAATGCAAGTAGTGGGAAATGATGAATATGCTTTCTATTATGTACAAATATGTTTTGGGATAAGTAAGAATATGTTTTGTGTTTAGCAAGAATATGGTTTTTTAATACGTGTTATGTTATTTTGAATAAAAGTTGTGAAAATTACGAATATACAATTCACACTTATGGGATATATTTTTTGTTCAATACAAATATTTCTTTTTTGTTCATTATGAATATGTTTTTCTAATGTGTATTTTTGTTCAGTATAAATATAATTTTTGTTCAATACAAATATGTCTTTTGTTCAATTCAAATATGATTTTTGTTCAACCAGAATATACATATACAGCTTGTAGGTAGTATATATAAGTTAAATTTTGTTAACCATAAATGGCCCACTTGTCAGTTACTTTTTCAGGTCGTGGGTCTTATAATGCACTATCTATTTTCCTAACAGATCTGAGCCTTCAATTTAAAAGGCCATTTTTGTGGGCCGTTGGATGGAAATGAAGGACCATTCTCCAAATCCCAACTAACGGACCATATCTTGGTTGCCCACTTCCACGACCATATCCATAAGTGGTCAAATATTTTTGCAATTTGACCCACAAGATCTGAAACACTCACCAACATGTGACAAGGGGGATCTTCATACCTTAGACATTTTACTTAACTGACAGGTAGAGCTAAGGAGGATCTATCAAGATGAGGGGGCTAATATTGAAGAGAGGATCACTATCAATGTAGGGCATCGTCAAAGCAGTTGAGAGGATGACTGTCAATCCACGTCAGTTGAGTGGTTTCTCAATGCATTTACTTCTAGTAACTATAAATAGGAGGTGAAGATGACAAACCATGAGTTTTCCAAATTCACACTAGCCAGCCCAATGAAAAAAATTATCATTTTTATCAATTTATCTGCTTTAGTGATAGTTATAGTTCTGGGGCTCTCACTGAACCTCCGTAGGAGTAGAGTTAATTTAATATAGATCTGTCTCGTGAGTTGTATAAAAATCAAACACTCTTGTTTGAACTATGTTTAAAGAAGTGTGAACCATGTTTAGTTATTGTTTGACAAATAATAAAAGATGCAAATTCATTATGTTCACACAAGATTTCTCGCCGAAAAATACTAGCATTCACCATATTGGTGATCAACAGTTCAAATTCATTGCCTTAAGTACTTCGAATTGATACTGATGGAGACTAAACCAAATCATCATAGCTAATTACTAAACGAATTTTTTTACAAGTTCTATTATTGGCTTATCCCATTCGAATTAGTAAAAGCTTTAAGCATACGATGTTCAATTTCTTCGTATGATAAAACCAGTTATACTCTTACTAAATAATAAAATTTGATTTGTTGTCTTTCCTTCATGGATGTAAAAGTTATCTACCATTAATAACAAAAACTACCTAAGTCTCAATATCTTGTTGATAGCATGTGCAGCAGTATTCAAATCTCAAATTGGGAGATGTACATTTAGGGAGAGTAGAGTACTGGGTCGTTAGCTTGTTGGATTGTCTCATCCACTTTTGACCTAAAAAATTGCCACGTCACAAAAACCAACTTGTAACCAAACCCAAAACTGACCCGACCCAAATCCCATCTCTTCTTTGATCCTCCATCACCGCCTCCTCTTCTCCGATCCTCCTTCGATCTCCCCCACTCCTATCCTCTTGTTCCTCATCCTCCTCCCTGCAAAAATCCACAGCCCAAAACATCACTGAGATCCCATGTCCCTCCGGCTCCACCAAGTTTCGGCAAGGCGACTCCCCTGCCTCCGCCGACTCCACTGGATTTCGGCCTCTCCTCCATCTCCCAATCTTAATGTTCTCCATCTCCACCACCACCTCTCTTCTAAATTTGGGAAACCGCCGCAGATGCAGCAACCATTGAGAAGAAGAATTCCGCTGCTTCTTAGTGATTCCTCCTCTCCCTTCCCTCCCTTCTTTCTTCCCCTCTTCCTCTAGACAAAGGCGAGAAAGGAGGCAAAATGTACCAATCGAACCAGAAGAAGAGGGGAGTTGGGAGAAATCTCTCACCCCCGCCAGTCATACGGGCTATGGATGCTACCGCTACCTACGTCTCTGCCGCAGTCATCGTCCAGGCTCAGGCTTGGGTTGGATGCGTTCAAATCGGCGACAACAAGGAGTCCCTGGTGGATTCCTTCCTTGTTGAGGCTCTCTAGAACCCACACCACCATCTCACCAGTCAGTTTCTGGTTTCCTTCTTGTTCTTTGTCAATTCGTAAATTTCTTACTCGCTCGTCTGTTCGATCTAGTATATGTTGTGTGGTTGAATTGATTCCTGTTCATGTGGTTGTAGGGTTTAATTTTGGTTCTCTGATGTTTTTGTTGGTAGATTGGTTGACGATTAGGCTTTTGAGTCGCAGAGATTGACTATTGGATTCTGGTGTAGATAGTTAGATCTGGTTATTGTGACGTTATTGAAGTTAGAGGGATTTGTGGTAGACTGCAATGCTTAATGAGGAAGGAGAAAAGGTTCTTGCGTGGGCAAGCTCATGATGAAATTTCTGGGTTGTCCCTTTGCAAACCCAGATTTTTCAGCTCTGTTGGAAACTTCGGTTTCTCGTCTGAAGAAATGAAGAACATGTTGCTAAATAAGGGTCTCGATGTTCAGATGCTTCTCGCGAACCCTAAAATCAAACCAGACAGTGGCGATTGGGATCTTCAGAGGTTGTTGGAGATTGGTGGTAGTTCGATCTCAGAGAAGCGGCGCCGGTGACGAGGAGGGTTTGGGGCGGGGAGCCGAGTCTCGACGAGAGGAAGGTGTCAAGAACATGGGTCTAGTCAGGGGTTGACCTGGGTTTGCTTATCTGATGTGGAAGAAGTTTTTTTTTTTTTTTGCTTAAAATTGGCCAACTCAGCGTCTCTGTTAGCCATGTCAGCAGTTAACTGACGACACTAACGCAGTCTGACGGAGGTTGACGGAGAGTGACCGAACTTGGACTGTTCAACTAATTTAAGTGACCATGAATGGAATAAATTAGTTTGAGTGGCAAACGTAAAATTTTGTAGCAATTCGAGTGTCCAAACTTGCAATTAAGCCCATTGATTTGTTATTCAAATGTCAAGTATTATGGATTTAATTTTAAATTTATAGTATTTCTTGTTTGCATGATGACCGCCTATTTCGGCCAAAATTTGGACATTTTTTAATTTCAAATTTGTGTATTCTACGAACTTGTAAATCTCATACATGCCTTTGGAATTTGGTTAGAGAACCAAATCCTTGATGAACAATTACTTTATTATCCATATAACAATTAATTATTTCAACGCAAAATACACCTAGATAGCCACAACTATCCACTTTTGGACAAAAATAACCACTTTTTCAAAAACACATAGTTGTTGCCATAATTTTTAAGCTTGTTTGCCTAATTTAGCCATTTTCGTCATATACTTTAACACCGTTAGTGACTCCATCCGTTAAGTGAATGTTATGCGGATGTGGTTGCTACCTAACCGCCACATCATGTCCACATGATCTCCCCATTGCCACATAATCGCTACATCAGATGAAAATATTCCTCATTTAGTATTTAATAAGATAAAAAGGGAAAAAGGAAAAAGGAAAAATCTTGTCCATCTTCCTTTCATCGTGTTTTGCATCTTCAATACCAGCGTCGTGTTCGCTCTTGGTAAAAATCGACCACCTCAAACCCGAACTCTTGCGTTAGCGCCCTTACTTGTTGCTCATTAAGCATCCTTTGCGCAATTCCCACCAGCCGCGCCATCAATACCAGCCTCGGTCGATGCTTTAGCACTTCCACTAGCCCTAAAACAAGGAATACATACCAAAAAATTAGTCTTTTACTTGCTGAACTTCCAAAAGCTCTGGAAAATTACCCCAAACTACTACAAACCACAACCCGCATGCCACCGTGACTCTCTACAATGAATTCCACCAAGTAAGGTGGGAAGTGGCCATTGGACATAGAGTTTTTTTTCTTTTTTTTTTTTACAAATAATTGGACATAGAGTAGATGCTGGAAACCACGTAGCGGGGTTACCACCATCGTTGGGCGCACTCCGACACCTCCTTCCGCTTCGATAACATGTTCCTCTTCAACCCTTCTGACCTTGACCTACCGATTCCAAATCCTCACTACAGCGGTGTTCCCATGACGCTCAAAAAAATTTCACTCTGTCAAAAATCTCTAATTTCTCATAGAGATTCTCTCTTGCGGGCTCCTCTCTCAGGGATCTAATATCATCTCCTGGTACTCTGATCTCGATCCGTCGAGACCCATTCCTCGATTCATTACCTCGTCCCTTGGTCAATCTCCATCCCCACTGCCCCTCTTGCACCTGATATTGCTTACTCGAGATTCGTCCAGTTAGTTCATCGATTGAGGACGGCTTCGGTGGTGAGAAACAAAACATATTTCGTCAAACCAGGAAGAAGAAGGGCGGTGTTGTGTAGGGTTTTTGGGGGCCTCGATCGGAAAGAAGAAGAAAGGCGGCACTGAAATGACACTATTGGTCTCCCTTTTGGCGATGAAAGTGGTTTGGGGAGAGAGGAAGACGAACAGGTCAATTTTTGACGAAAACATGCCACGTCTACACAAACGGTTAGTCCAATTAGCATTCACATTTAGTCGATTAAAGTTTTGGATGAAATGACTATTTCTCTGTATTTTTCTAAAAAGTGGCTATTGTTGGCAAAAGGGTGAATTGCAAATTTGGTCACTCATATTACCAATTTGTAACACGCTAGCCACCCGAATAATTTTCCATTCAATTTAGTCACGAATAATACATGTTTATGTCATATTTGGTCACTCGCCGTCTACTTCCGTTAAATCTGTCCTACGTGGCGGTCAACAATTATATTTGAATGTTAAAATAGTGACGTGACAATTAAAAAATAAAAAATAGTTCTTTAGAAATTTCCACCTCAAAAAAGAGGAAGAGAGAGAGGAACGAAAGGGATCATTCTCTCTTCTTCATTTTCATTTTTTTTTTCCGTCAACGACGGTGCTTCTCTCTTCTTCTCCTTCTTCCACGATGAACCGAGCCAACTGTGGTAGCAGCACGGATCGATGACGGTGGAGGATGGCAGGGATTGAAGACGGTCAAGCTCAGAGGGAGGGTCACGGCAACGGCGCGAATTCGAAGGTGGTACCGGCGATGGCGACGACAAGGAACTGGTGGCGCGGAATCGATGATGGGTAAGATGGTCTGGTGGGGGACCAACGCTACTATGCGGTGCAGCGACGGGAGATGCAGTGACGGCGCTGGCGATCAGCGAACGGGATGAGGATCGGCGGTGAGGAGCTGACGGGAGAGGGCACAGAGCAAGCGAGCAGGGGAGGGTGGAGGCGAGCGGTGGCGATGACAAGTGATAACCACGGCGAAGCTGCGGGGGCGAGGGGATTGGCCGTGGGAAGTAATTACCGGCAGAGGGAGGGCTTCACTGCACTTCCTATCACTCCCCACTACCCATTCCACAATATAAAACCCTAACCCCCCAATTCCGCTATCCCCGCACTACAAAATTATCCAGCTCTCTGCAAATTCTACCTCAATCACTTCCACTCCGCCGAAATGACCAAGCTCCCCACTCCTCAACCGCCGCTACCGATTGTAATCTTAGAAGTCTAGGCGTCCAACTTGGAAGCCGAATTCAACCTCATCCGTGACGAATGGACGACTTCCCTTTTGGGCTTCGTCTTCTGCCCTCCCCTGCAATCAACCAGACCAAGCCGAAGAGCTCGTTCACGGAGACGTAGCGGCGGTGGCGCTGGCTACAATGGACCCGATCCGCTCTCCCAGGAGAGACCCTTCTCGTGGGTAAGGGAGTGGTCGACGGAACGAATGTTGAGCATTTTCATCGGTGATGGTGACGGTGGATAGGGAGAGATTGCAGCCTATTGATAGTGGGATTTTTTCCAGAAATACCACTGTTTAAAAAAAAAATTTCAAAAATACCACCCAATCCCAAAAAATTCCAAAAATACCACCCTTTTTCAAAAACCGCCACCCCACCCAGCGGTTTGGTCCAATTTTTTTTTTTTTTCCGATAAACTCCCAACTTCGGCCGAAACTTCAAACGAACGTAACTTTGCACTCGGATATCCGATCGTAGCGATCGTTTTTTTCATTTCGCATAAATTTTGAAGATCTACAACATTTACAAGGATAAGATTTTCAAAACAGGAACTATTTGTGGATATACGGGACCTTGAGAATAACTTTACCTTTACTTTTCACAAATCCATGTACATTTTGAAATTATGATTATATTCAAAGTTGTAGATTTTGAAAAGTTATGCGGAATCAAAAAAAATTCATAACATTCAGATTTTGGAGCACAAAGTTATGGCCGCCCAAAGTTTGACGAAATGCGAGACCCGGCGATATGCGGCTTGCAAGATCTCAAAAATTTTACGGCCTCCATTTTTTGAATCCGAATAACTTTTTGAGATCTTGCAAGCCGCAAACTGTTGGGTCCCGCCTTCGTCTCGAAAAAACGTCATTTGCCACCCCGAACGAGCCTTTTTTTGATTTCGTCAAACTTTGGGCGGCCTTAACTTTGTGCTCCAAAATCCGAATGTCATGAATTTTTTTTTGATTCCACATAACTTTTAAAGATCTACAACTTTTAATATAATAATAATTTCAAAATGTACATGGATTTGTGAAAAGTAAAGGTAAAGTTATTCTCAAGGTCCCGTATATCCACAAATAGTTCCTGTTTTGAAAATCTTATCCTTGTAAATGTTGTAGATCTTCAAAATTTATGCGAAATGAAAAAAACAATCGCTACGATCGGATATCCGAGTGCAAAGTTACGTACGTTTGAAGTTTCAGCCGAAGTTAGGAGTTGATCGAAAAAAAGAAAAAAAAAATTGGACCAAACCGCTGGGTGGGGTGGCTGTTTTACGGTTTGGTCAAAATTTTTTTTTTTTTTATAACCGCTCCCTAGGCCCGTGGTTTGCATAGAAAACCGCGCCTCCGACAAACGGTTTTCGTGTAAACCGCAGGGTGGGGTGGCGGTTTTTGAAAAAGGGTGGTATTTTTGGAATTTTTTGGGGTTGGGTGGTATTTTTGGAATTTTTTTTTAAAACAGTGGTACTTTTGGATTTTTTCCTTGATAGTGAGCTGGAAAATTTAATGTCTTATTTAATTTTTTAATTTCAACATCACCACTTTAACGGTCAAACATAACAGTTGACCGCCATGTAGGACAGACTTAACGAAACTAAATGATGAGTGACCAAATATGATACAAACGTATAATATCGGTGGTTGAATTAAAGGGAAAGTGATTCAAGTGGCTAACGTGTTACCAATAGACAATATGAGTGACCAAACTTGCCATTCACCCGTTGGCAAAAAGTGGATAAAATTGGCTATCTAGGTATATTTTACCTTATTTCAACTCTATTCTTATTATTGAAACTAGTTGTGTTGATTATATGTGGTTGATATTGATGGGAAATGAATGGCAATTTATTTCATTCCTTTGTAAGGTTTGAGGTCCAAGTAATTAGACCCGATGCATGCTGGTGGGTTTTGTGATTAGTTTTAAATAAATAAAAAAACTAATAATATAACTATTCATTTTCATTTTACATATTACAGGGTTGTGGCACAACCAAGATTTCATGATTGGCGCCAAAGTTAGCAAAATAAAACAAGAAAGTGAAGGAAATTCTAGAGAACTTCTATATCATATCTGGACTTTGTAGTAATCCAAGCAAGTGTGAGGTATTTTTTGGGGAAAATCGATGGATTTAAGAACAATGAACTGTCAATAACTAGTTTTAAATAACGGAGATTACAAGTGCAATATCAAAGACTCATTGAATTTTGGTAAATTGAAAAGTAAGAATGTGATAACAAGCAGAATCCGATCAGGGAGAGCTGGTAATTAGTTATCTTATGATGGTCAGTTTCACCTAATGTCTTTAGTTCTCCACTCGTTGATTCAATTCTGGATGTCTCTGTTAGTGTTGTCAAAGAAGGTAATTAATCACATTCACAAAGTTTGTTTAGACTTTGTGTTTTATGGTGAAGGATTAGGGAAAACTAAAGTTTCATGGGGATACTGGCTACTCCCAAGAAAGAGGGCGGTTTGGGTCTTCATGACTTACAAACTTGAAATATTGCTTATCTTCGGCGTTTCCTATGGTTGTTATTTTTGCAAGGTCCCAGTTTTTGGGTAGCATAGATTCAACGATATCGACCTAAAGGGCGGTCAATCTGGAGCCTGCATCATCATCTCGAGGTTCCTGAGTATGGAGACAGTTGCTGAAACATAGAAGCTGGTTCCAGTTCAGGGTAGGGAAGAATGTAACAGACTTAGTCTGTTGGGAAGGTAAACAATTGGCAAGATACTATGTTAAACGAATATGGGATGCCATTCGAGTTCATAGACCTGTTGTGAGCTGGTGGCATTTGCATTGGAATAAATTCGCGGTCCCAAGGTACAGATTCTTGGTGTGGTTAATCATATTAGATAGAATTGTTACTCATGATAAGCTAAATGCCCGAGGAAGAATAACTGATGATTATGCATGATTGTTGTGTGATAATGGAAATGAAAACATAGATAATATTTTTGGGGAATGTGTCTATATTAAGCAGTTTTTACTGTTGTGTTTAGTACTATTTTGCAGAATTGACCTTTTGTTTGGGAAGATATCGTAAGCATTGCTTGTGCTTAAGGAAAGAAAGGTGGAAGTTTTGGCAGAGTGTTTGAAGCTTTGTGGTGCTGGTATGTATGCTTCATCAGGAAGGAGAGATGTGGCAGACTTTTTGGGGAACAGGAAACATATTGGTCGACGTTGCTAGCTCGCTTCAAGAAAGAGTTGTGCCTTTATACATTTAGGAATATAACTTTTGGTAAAGAGTTATACAGTACAACATTGTGTAGTCATTGTAATGTAATGACTAGTAGACGTGAGTCTGGTTTTTTCGACGAGACTAGGTCATTTTAATCGACTAAGTATTGAAAAATATTAAAATTAAATAATTAAGTGGGTGTTTGGTTTAGGAATAATTAAATTGATGCATTGTGAAGAATTTTTTTTCCTTTGAATTGTGAGTGTGAAAAAAATTGGTGTATTCTGATTTACATTGTTTTGTTATAATTAAATTGATGCATTGTCAAGAAAATTGGGGCATTCTTGTTTATTTTATTTTTATTTTTGTGATGGCTATTGTATTGTTTAAATAAATTATATTAATTTTTGGAAGATGTATTCCTTTTATCCTTTGTTTTTAATATAAAAGACAATACATACAAAATGAGATGTATAGATGGAACAAATATAAACACAACAATCTCATCCGAACTATCTCAACAATCTCACCTACAAATGTAGATTTAATTATTTCTCATTTTGATGTATTTTGTGTCAGATTAAGCAAATTGTGCCAAAATTGAGGGAAAACAATCATTATGAACAATACAAGTGTTCTATAGCAATCTCACTTAAATTATCATCAAACCAAATTACCCGCACATTTGCATTTTGGTCAAATTCAGCCGCCAAGGTAAAAAAAAATGGAAAATTAGCTTTCTGCCATGGTCGTACTTAAATGTCTAAGAAGCAAGGAGGAATTATTGGGTACTCCTAGAGCACCACATCACTATGCCTACATGGTGCTCCCAACCACTAATTGCTCGCCACCTGTCATATTTATTATTGACAAATACATATTTTCACATTAATTTATTTGCTCGTTTCTCTATCCTTTTTGTCACATGTGGCAGATGACATGGTGCCAACAAGGTGACAACATGGCGGCTTCACATGTGGAGTGTATGGAAGACTAGTAGCATAGAGATGCTCCTAGGATTCTCCACCAAAATGAGGGCTTAATGGTGCACTTATGATTCAGATAATGGATGACATTTATAGAGTGCATAATGGGGGGACTTAATGGGTGTATTTATGTAGAGGGACATTATGAGGGGCATTGATGCCTTGTATGAGGAGAGGCCTATATAAGGAGTCATCTCCCTCACTTGTAACTCATTCCATCATTTTTTAGAGTAATACACACTAGAGAGTTCTCGCATCATCTTGTCTTTGTTCTTGCTTCTTTGCTTGTTTGTGAGTTTGAGAGAAGGATGCTTAGTTCTTTAACGGAATTGAGAGCTAAGACTGCACGACCGAGAGTAAGGTTGTGGCAAGTGGTATCATAGAAGGAGAAGGTGGAGGCAATCCAAGAATGGGAGCCGCCGACGAAGGTGCCAGAGTTGCGGTCATTCCTCGGCCTTGTAAACTACTATCGAAGGTTCATCAAGGGCTACTCCAACATTGCAGCACCCTTGATGGATCTTTTGAAGAAGAACAAGGTTTGGGATTGGTCGGAAAGGTGCCAAGAAGCTTCGAAGCCTTGAAGGAAGTAGTGATAAAGGAGCTCGTATCTGTGCTCCCCGACCCGACGTTGGCCTACTGAGTGCAGAACGATGCATCCGACTTCGCGATTGTTGGTGTTTTGATGCAAGATGGGCATCCCATTGCCTTCGAGAGTCGGAAGCTCAACGAGACGGAGAGGCGATACACGGTCCAAGAGAAGGAGATGACGGCCGTGGTGCATTGTTTGCACACGTGGAGGCACTACTTGTTGGGGTCGAAGTTTGTAGTGAAGACGGACAATGTGGCAACGAGCTACTTCCTCACGCAGAAGAAGCTCACCCCTAAGCAAGCGAGGTGGCAAGATTTTGTGGCCGAGTTTGATTTCGTCACGGAGTACAATCCAGGCAAGGCGAACTCCGTTGCAGATGCTCTTAGACGCAAGAGTGCAGCCGCAAGCATAAGCCAACCAGTATTTCCTTTGAAGGAGCGGATTGTCAAAGGCCTTGGCCATGACCCCTTCGCAAAAACCATGGCCGAGTACATCGAGCAAGGTAAGACTCGACGGTTTTGGATGAAGGACAGACTCATCATGACCATGGGAGAGCGTGTGTTC